TACTCGCTGGTGTTCAGCAGTGCGCGGCATGGTGCACAAGCAGAAGTATCTGCCCAGGTCAGAACCAGGACTTTTGGTGGTACAACGGGCAACGCACTACATGGCTGTTTCTATTTATCTACATGGATTTTTCTATCAAAGCACTGTGGAGAATAGAGTATTATGAGGTATGATGTATTATGATGTATTCTGAGGCATTATGGGTATTATGGGGTATTATGAGGTATTATGGGGTATTTTAAGGGTATTATCAGGGTATTATGGGGTATTGTAAGGGTATTATGTTCTGTTATGAGGTATTATGGGGTATAATGGGTATTATGAATTTTATGGGGTATTATAAGGATATTATGGCGACGTGTACTGAGTATTATGCGAGTCGGAGACCCTTTCGGGTTGCCTCTGAATCACTAGATGAGGAGGCTGACGACCCGACGAGTGAGCAAGAAGAAGAAGAGACAGAGACCATTGCGTCTCTCGGTCTGAAGAACAAAACAAAAAATCACCAACTTGTGCAAATGTTCGCAGAGCATAAAAGAAAGTGTGTTAGCTGTGTTGAGCCGGGAAAAGCCGTGAGCACAATGACATCTTTTATAGATCGCGGGGTTGCCTTTAGGGAAACACTGCTCAAGAAGAAACCGGCAGACGCCATTGCGGTACTTAGAGATGCTGAACTGCACAGAGAACTGATCAACCACATCTTCAGGGCATCAAACCTGGGCCAGAGCGGCAAAGAAAACTGGAAAACGGCATGGGAGACTTTGCTCAAGTACGCTTCTCCTTTCACCGAATCCGACAAAAATGCAGGGCGATTCAGAGTTGAGAGTAAGTAAGATTATCCCTCTCTTTCCTTTTAAAAAACACAGCAAAAAATTCAGTGACACTAATTTGTTTTTTGTTTTTGTTGACTTTAGAGGAGTTTCCAGACAAGGACCCCACCCTAAACGCCGATCTTCCGAAAATCCGACTTTTGTGGAATGACTTCAAGCCTAAGGATGTGAACGTGGTAAACCCGGCTGAAGCTGACCAGGAGCACGTGGATTTAGCACAGTAAGTAGTTTTATATTTTTGCACTGCTCCCTCTCCTCTCGGCATTTGTTTTGTGCTGCGAAGGGATGCCACCCGTTTTGTCGTACGGGTTGCACACCTTTGCGGCACCCCCACTTTGACACATTCTTCCCCCCCTGTCCCCAGGATCGACGCGTTTTTCGAAAGCGAAGAGAATAAGGACCGAGTGAAGGAGTACGTCAACATCATGTATTTTATTTAAGGGGATTATCAGGGTATTATGGGGTATTATAAGGGTATTATGGAGTATTATGGGTATTATGAATATTATGGGGTATTATAAGGGTATTATG